TATTTTTGTCCTGAGTTCATTTATCTGTTTATTCATGTGTTCTCTTTCACTTTGGTGTTTATACAGTGCTTCTATGGTTTCCTTTATTTCTTCTTTTGTTTTTTCAAATTCTATTTTTGTTGTCTTGGAATTTCTTGAGTGTCTCCTGTACATTTTGGTTGACCCTATCCAGTATCATCTCTATAAAATTCTCATTGAGTACCTGTAGTATGTCTTCTTTTAAATTATTCTTGTGGGCTTCATTGGGTCCTTTGGCATAGTTTATCTTCATTTTGTTGGAGTCTGGATCTGAGTTTGTTTTTCTTCATTCCCCTTTGGTTCTGTACTAATTTTTTGCTGTGGGGAAACTGGTTTCCCTGTTTTTTCTGTCTTCCCATCATTGTCTTTGGTGTTGTTACTGTCCCTGTACTGTGTGCAATTAAGTATTTTCTAGCTTGTAATAATAACAATGGTAATATTTAGAATGGAAGGATGAGCTGAGATGGGAAACAAGAAATTAAAGAAATGGGAAAACCAAATACACAGACTGGAGGGAGAAAACAGAACAAGGTGTCAGACAAGAAGATTTCAAAGGTATAAACAGGGAGCTTTAGTGTACTAATCGACAGTAAGCTGAACAGGCATTAGAGAGACAGAGAGAGGATTGAAAATAAAAAAAAAAAGGTAAGAATAAAAATAAAAAATAAGTAAATGAAAGAAAAATCTATTTATAAAAATGTGTTAAAATAAAATGAAAAAATAGAAAATTTTAAAAAACCAAAAAACCTCCAAGTTCAAATGCAGTGAAGTCACAGTCTCCAGTCCTGGAGATGGTGCCTCAGATGTTGTTCTGTAGTTGTCTCATCAAAGGGGACGCATAAAGAAGAACAAAACTACACACACACGCACAAAAATAATCCCACCAAGTGTCCCAAGTTCAAATGCAATACAGTTTCAGTAAGTTTTTCAGCTTGCAGGTGTAATTCGGTTGTTCTCTCATCAAAGGTAGGGAGACAAAGGAAAAAAAAAAAGAGTCTGGAGACAGTTCTGAGAATGGTTTCTTCAACTGTGGTTTGCCTGCCAGCTGTTTTCAGCCTGCTGTTGCTGGAGGCGTTATTTATGCTGATCTCTGGGGTGAGCTTAGCACTCACCTGGCCCTGCAGGCTTTGTTTGCTTAGATTTCTCCTGTGTGTGAGCCTCTGCTACAGGCTTTCCCCTTTCCAAGCACTGTGAAAGGTGACACTGCACCAGCTTTCTCAGGCCTGCGTGTTTATTTACAGTTCATGTGGGAGGTGGGTCTTCCCCCCTCTCCTGTGCAGTTCTCCTCCCACCACCACTTTCACAAGCTTTCCTGCTCCTGATTACTGGGCAGTGCTGCTGCTCCTGCCAGCCGCCATGTTTGTTTACAGCTCACGTGGGAAGTGGGTCTTCCCTTCTCTCCTGTGGAGTTTTCCTCTCTCTGCCACTCTCACCAGCTTTCCTGCTCCTGGTTGCTGGGCACGCGCCCCCACTCCCGCCAGAGGCTCTCCGGCCCACCCGGCTTGTTTATTTACAGTCCCGGGAAGGGTTCCCTTCCCCCAATCTTCAGCACTTAGTGCGCCCCACCCTCTTTCCTGCCTGTCTTGTTTGTTCTTATTGCTTATTACTCAGTTTCTCTTTTTTCCTGGGGTGGAGGTCAGTCTGTCCAGGGAGCTATGCTGCTCTGGCCCAGGCTTGTCTGTGGGAGTACCGCAGTTCCTCGAAGCTCACCTGGTCCCCGTCTTCCCAAGCCGTCTGGGCGCCGGCGACTGGTGGCCCGGGGGCCCTCCTTGTTTCTCCGTTTAACATGAAGTGGAGATTCTCTGTGCTGGCTGGAGGTGTGGAGGGGTCAAAGTTATGCCTTTTCTCAGTGATTATGCCTGCAAAGTGTGTCTCCAGCATCTCTCCAAGATTTCACTATAGTAGGCTCGCTTTCTGCTTCCTCCCTTTAGCCGCCATCTTGGAATTCTCCCTTACTTTTTAATTTGAAATATGTGCTCACAGAGAAAAATCTGGGCTTTAAAATTGCTTATGACAGCCATTTCACGTGACACCTACTTTGCATATACTGCAAACTCAGTTCTTTATAATTCTTAAAAAGAAGACAGCCGGTCCTCAGGACTTACACCTTCATTTTAAAGGCAATCTTCAAGAGAAATGTATTCCACCAAAAATTACCATTTCTTTGAAGATTCACTCCGAATGTTTAAGCTTCTCAGTGTCTTTAATCTTAAGCTAAATTTCAAGAAGCATTCCCTAGCTACTAAAGCCAGTATTTTGGCTTTGGCAGATTCTCTTAGGTAATATACTTAAGGAAAATAAAATAATGTTTTTACTTTAAGGCAAATGGAATTGATAGCTTCCTTATTTTTATAGTAAACATTTATTGAGAACTTTATGAAAGACATTGAATGAGATTCTAGAGGACTCAGAGATGAAATTGCTGCTTTTAAGAAGTTTGTAACATAGCAGACAGGCAGAAGATGACATGAAGAATATGACTGTTTCTAATTTAAGGTTTCTGATTTAAATAAGTTCCATGGGAGCTTCTACGCATGAGCTGTGGTGGTTTTAAGTGGGGAAATAGAGAGTGCACCAAAAAAGGCTCTATGGAGAATGATCCTTAAAGATTTGATATGGTTTGGAGAGCATGGAAGTCAAAGGAGACATCCTAGATGAGAAAACAGATGGAGCAAATGTTGAAAAGTGTGGCAGTCACTTACTAGTTTTCTTCAGCAGCACTTTGTACATTCGTTATTAGAATTTAGCCTGTGATATTGTAAAAATATGCTCACGTGTATGTCTACACCACAGTTCATTAATTCAGCATACATTTTTCACTTGTCACCACGTGCTATGTATTATCCTAGGTACTGGCAATAGAGCAGTGAACAAAATAGGTCCTTGCCCTTATGTATCTTCCATTCTAGTGGAAGGGAAGATAGATAATATGTAACATGGGCAAATAAATTATATGTTAGAAACATGGTAAGTAAACTGTCAGAAGAGTACAGGGTGTGAAGTAAGCTAAATTAGGGTGAAGAAAATGGAGAATATTAGAGGGTCAAATGTTAAAGTTGTTAATCCAAGCAAGCCTCACTGAAAAGATGGCATCTGAACAAAGTCTTAAAAGGAAATGAAGGAGCAAGTTGTAAGAATATCTAGGAGGAGAACACTTTAGTACAAGAGAAAAATAAGTACAAAGACCATGAATCAGGAGTATGCCATGTTGAAAATTATCTATAGTGACAAGAGTGAAATTATAGAGGCCCATAAGGAGGCTGTTATGATAGCATAAGGGAGAAATGTAGGTCACTTGGACCAGTGTTAGTGCAGAGGTTGTGTTAGCCAACTTCGTGATACTATGACAAAATACCTGACATGTTTAAAAAGAAGAAAGATTTATTTTGATTTATAATTTCAAAGATTTCAGTCCATGGTTAATTGGCCCTATTGCTTTTGGGCTTCTGGTGAGGCAGTATATTATGGCAGGAGTATGTGGCATAGGAAGCTCACCTCATGGCATAGGAAGCAAAACAGAGAGGAAGAAGAGGGGTCAGGGTCACAATATCCCCTTCAGGAACATTTCTCCGTGGCCTAAAAGCTCCCACTAGTCCTCCCTTTTAAAATTTCCACTACCTCTCAATAGCACTAAACTGAGGACCAAGCCTTTAACATATAGGCCTTTAGGGGGCATTTAAGATCCAAACTACAGCAGAGTTGATAAGAAATTGTCAAATGCTACTGATACTCTGAAAATAGAAACAGTAGCACTGCTAAACAGTTTGATGTAAAAAGACTTTCCCTTAACAACACCGTATAACTGCTTTAGGAACTGAAAGGGTCCATCCTTTGTTCAGCCCATAGTTATTCCCTTTGTGCAGAAAACTCTACCATTGCTACTTTTGACTAATGCCACTGCTTATAGCAGGAACTCCATCTCTGTCTCCAAGTTTCTGAATGTACCTACTGCCTGGTTCCAGGGCCCACTATTGTACCAAAGGCCAGTGGCCCCATTGCTCAGCTAAGATTAATTTTGTTCCCACTTGACAATTTTCATCACTTTTTGCTGACATAACTGCTTCTGCTGAATTTTTTTCCCTTTTAAGCCTCATGTTTTCTTTTGAAGTAGTGTGTACTACAGCTAAATCTGTTCTATTTGTTTGTACAGTGATAAGACTGTCTCAGTACTTTGGCTGTAAGAAACTCTCAGGCAATACCTGAGAGGATAGTGTTGTGCCATCTTTGCATCCCACTGATAAGGTAACATTGTTTTTCTGGACTAGGTCCTTAAAAAGATTAGCTAGAATAGGCTACAGCAGGTGTGACATTGTAAGCAAACCTGAGATGAGCCATGACAGACAACTCTAGTAAGGTATAGGATGGATATCCTGTTTTCCCTTCTAGTTAGGTGAAAGGCATCTACCTATGCCTATGGGGTGAATGTCTTTCCTCTAAGGTCAAGGTCCATTAAGGTGTTCTGGGCTAACTTCCCAGAATTCAGAGGGGCATATACAAGTGAGCCTTGCTCACAATGTTTATACTTCAAAGTTGTCTCTCAGGTCTTTGGCAATCCCCTCCCCTACCTAAGACTGGTAAAATAATAGGTAGATGGTATTGCTTCTTCATTCATCTGGGACATAAAAACAGATTTGTACATATTGAATATTTTGAGGTAGAATGAACCCAGAAAGAACATCTAAATCAAATATAATTTTTGTGGCAACACGAAGCTCCAGAAGGTTAAGTGATCTGCATAGGGTCTTACATCTGTTTAATGGCAAACCTTAAACTAGAACTCAGGCTTCCTGGGTCTAAGACTTTCCATTGCACCATTTATAACATTATGGTTTCAGACTCTGAGTAGTGTGATGAGTCACACCGTATAAACATTGTCAGTTAGGTAATGCTTATATATGGAAGTTCTGGGAGTAGCACATGGGGATCTCCATAATTATATTTCTGTATCTACTCTGCCACTTGAATATTGTTTTCTTCTAAAGATTTTCAGTTTAGATCTTGGAGGCATATCAACTGTGGTTCTAAATGGCTATGACGTGATAAAGGAATGCCTTGTTCATCAAAGTGAAATTTTTGCAGACAGACCATGCCTTCCTTTATTCATGAAGATGACAAAAATGGGAGGTATGTTTATTTTCAGCTCTTTAGTGGTTTACTAAAAAAGTATTTAAAATCATATTCCTTATTTCAAGTAGTTTTGGCGCATAAGTTGTGATTCTTTTGTACTGATTTACAGGACAGTATATACTTATTTATGGAACTTAGTATTTGAGGAGTTTTCAGGCTGTATTACACTAATATTTTAGACTACTCCATGCTAATTTTATTGTAATACTTGCAGGTTTTTTTAAACAAATTAGGAGTATACACACACATGAATCAGAAGTGTCTTTGATGCTAGTCTTTAGTACTTGGAGACGTATTTACTATCATTTTACTTAGAAGCTTATAAAAACTGAAGCAGCTTTTCTCAACTACCATTCATTATGCTATATAAATGGAGAGTTGTAGGGCTTAACTAAAGGACTAGCATTCTGAATGGTTTAGTTTAGTGCTAGATGATACCCTATTCAGCAAGAGAGAAAGACTGAAAGTTGACAAAATTGGTATGAAGGGAGCAACAAAAGAAAGCCTCAAATGAAACCAGCTGCAGTGGTTTTAATAATACAGTAATTTTTACAATTTTTATCTTCATTTAATGAGAACTTCACATTTATTTCAATGAAAAGTTTAGCAATATCTTACTTGAATAAGCTAAAAGACATTGGTTAAAGAGGAAAAAAATTAAAATGCTATATTAAGTTACAAAACAAATCAACTAATGCAAAGAAAGAACCATTTTTAAAGACCAGATTCTCAGGTCAGAATATGATATTAGAAAGCAATAAATAAAAAGCAAATCTCCAGCCTTTTAAATAACACTTAGGGAAAAGAAGAAATTATAATATAATAGAAAATCTTTTAACTGGTGATGAAAATGAGCTAGGTGCCAGTGACTTACACCTGTAATCCTGGCTGTTTGGGAGGCTGAAATTGGGAGCTTATGGTTCTGGGTCAAACTTGGCAAAAAGTCTGTGAGATCCCCATCTCAACAGGAACAAAAGCTAGGCATGGTGGCAAGCACCTGTCATCTTGGCTGTGGGTTGGGAGAGATAAAATAGGAACGTTGCAGTCCAGGCAGGCCCTGGAAAAAAATGAGACCCTATCTCAAAAAAATAACCAGAGGGAAAAGGTCTGGAGATAGGACTTTAGTGGTAGAGTGCCCACCTAGCAAGTGCAAAGCCCTGAGTTCTAACCCCAGTGCCACCTCCCCCAAAAAAGTGATGAAAATGAAAGATGATGTGTCCAGAGTAATACTTGAGACAAAGTATATACTTTTCAAAGCTGAAGGTTTCTAGTTTAGGCTATTTTTATCATAAAAATGAAGTGAGCATCCAATTTAAGATTATCAAAACAAAGAAAAGCCAGACATGGTGGTTCATGCTTATATCTAAGCTACTGGGGAGGCAGAGATTGGGAAGATCATGATTGGATGCCAGCCTGGGCAAAAAGTTAATGAGACCTATCTCAATCAGTAAGTCAGACGTGGTGGCATCATGTTGGAGGCTACTGGAGGTGGTAGATAGGAGGATTGTAATTTAAGGCTAGCCCCTGGCAAAAACATGAGACCCTACCTGAAAAATAAGGCACAAAAAGGTCTGGGGCTCAAGTAGTAAAGCACCTCCTAGCAAGTGGGAGGCCCTGAGTTCAAACCCCAAACAGTAAGAGAAAAATAAGTTGAAAATTACATGTTATTTTAAGGTAAATATGTACTGACCATGGAACTGGAAAATAAATCATGGCCACCATTAGCCCAATGTAGGAATGGAACAAAGTTGCCTTTTGGGTAGTAGAGTCAGCCCCATACCTAGGCACACAGTTTGCCAATGTAGGATCATTATGAGTAATTCTCTGTATCTTCTTGTATATGTGTCCCTTATGCATACATTTTCTAGGGTTTGTTGTCTTTGTAGTGCTTTTGTACTAGCTGTTCTCTCTACCTGCAGTGATTCCCTCCCTCCATATTTGCTTGACTAACTCTGTTATCTCCTTTAAATCTTTTCTCACATACTACCTATGTTAAGCTTTTGCTGACTACCTTGTATCTCTTTGCTTGCTATATAACTTATTTGTTGTCTATCTGTCTCTTCTACTGGTAGGTCCAAGTGAACAGGAAGCTTTGACTCTTTTGTTCACTGATAAATCCCTGACACTTTAGGACACTTTCTGAAACATAGTAGGTGCTTCATAAATGCATGTTGACTGCATACTTATTGAACAAATAGCCATTTGGGAATGTGGAGAGCAAAGCTGACAGATGGTAAGAAAGATCTTTTGATTATACCGTGGAGCATCTACACCAGACTAACCCTAAAACATCACTGTTACCTCTGAATTTTCTTCAATTATTTAAGTAAATTTGCACAGGATTTTCTTCTTCTAACAACTGAAGACATCTTAATATATTAATGATGCAAAAACTCCTGATTTGTAACATAGAAACTTTGCAAATATTCAGCAGACAAGGCCAAACTAACATTAAATGCATAATATTCTTAATAAAAGTGATCATTATGTAAACTTGCTCTGAGGTTGCAACTCTTGTGTTGGGAGAATGCTGGGCCTTTTCTGCTACTCTGCATATAAGGAGCAGTCAGGCTTTTTGTGTTATAAGATTGTATGGCTAATGAGTAGCAGAGAATAAGACCCAGCCATCTAGTTATGTAAGAAAGATAATTGGGGAAAATAACTAACCATTTAATTTTTTTTTCTTTTTTAAAACTCCACAGCATTTTCAGCTGTTGAATGCAGAGAAGTCAGACTTATGCAATATTTTAATACTTTTTTTTTAGGCCTACTTAATTCCAGATATGGTCGAGGATGGGCTGATCACAGAAGATTAGCTGTAAACAGCTTTCGCTATTTTGGATATGGTCAAAAGTCTTTTGAATCAAAAATCTTAGAAGAAACCCAATTTTTCGCTGATGCCATTGAAACATACAGCGGTAGACCTTTTGACTTTAAACAAATAATAACAAATGCTGTTTCAAACATAACCAATCTGATTCTTTTTGGAGAACGATTTTCTTATGAAGACACTGATTTTCAGCACATGATTGAATTATTTAGTGAAAATGTGGAACTAGCTGCCAGTGCCTCAGTCTTCCTATATAATGCCTTTCCATGGATTGGCATCTTACCCTTTGGAAAACATCAACAGCTATTTAGAAATGCAGATGTGGTCTACGATTTTCTCTCCAGACTTATTGAAAAAGCTTCAGTCAACAGAAAGCCTCACTCACCTCAGCACTTTGTTGATGCTTATTTAGATGAGATGGATCAAGGTAAAAATGATGCATTATCTTCTTTCTCCAAAGAAAATCTAATTTTCTCAGTGGGTGAGCTGATCATTGCTGGAACTGAAACAACAACCAATGTGCTACGCTGGGCAATTCTTTTCATGGCCTTTTATCCTAACATTCAAGGTGAGGATTCTCTTAATGATCTCAACATCTGTCCTTACATTTATATAGAGTTCATAAATATTTTAGAGTCTTTAGCCATGTGCAAAGCATTTCTAGGAATTCCTGCTATGCTAGCCAAGAAGAGAAATATTTCATAGTTATAGAGAGTTTTCAAATATATTGTCTCAATTCATGTAAAACCTCCTAAAATAGATCTTATTATACCTGACTTAAGAATGAGGACAAAGACTAAGTATCCAGAAGTGCCAGATCTAGGACAAATCTGAATGCTGTTTTTTCTTATCCAGGTTTTGTGCTTCACTATTTTTCTTGCTGAAAGTGGTATTAACCCAATTTTAGGTTCACTTAATTTTTGTTCTTACTCCTTTTGCTGCGTTTTTATAACCAAGTTATCCAGAACATTGTCTCTGGATATATTTAAATTGAACTCCCAAATAATGAAAAATTTAAATCTGGATGTACCTGTATCCTTTGACTTACTATAGATTGTCCTTTGTTTTACCCCAAAGATAAATTATTTTAGATATAATTCTAAGAATTGCACAAATAGCATGAATACTTTTTTTTTCTGACAGGACAAGTGTGGAAAGAGATTGATTTAATTATTGGCCCCAATAGGAAGCCTTCTTGGGATGACAAATGCAAAATGCCTTATACTGAAGCAGTTTTGCATGAAGTTTTAAGATTCTGTAATATAGTTCCATTAGGAATTTTCCATGCAACTTCTGAAGACACAGCTGTACGTGGTTATTCCATTCCTAAAGGCACAACAGTAATTACAAATCTTTATTCTGTACACTTTGATGAAAAGTACTGGAGAGACCCAGAAATGTTCTATCCTGAGCGATTTTTGGACACCAGTGGATATTTTTCCAAAAAGGAAGCTTTGGTTCCTTTTTCCCTAGGTAAGAGAACTTTCACATGGATATAACTTCACAATAAAGTATAATGATTCATCATGTATATCGTGTTTATCTGAAGCATTCTGCTCTAGTATTGAATATTCCAACTCTGAAAACATAATATTGATTCTTACAGGAGAGAATGGTTTTATTAGAGGTAATTAACAACTGCTTTTACTCAAAATAAGCCTTAACTTATTAACTACATTTAAACTTTTGAGAAGCTCTGGCTTTTTCTGAAAATTTTTGGCTTTAGTCAAACTTGTAAAGCTAGAAATTAGTAAAAGGTGACTTAATAAACAGACCCAGAGAAAGGAACAACATGGCAACTTGAAGTAAAACTAGAATCTAGCCTTTTGCCTTACAGCTTATTGTACCTCATCTCCAACTAGGAAATATTGCTTCTGATGTGAAATAAGACACAGGTAACAGATCCATGGACTAGAAACTCTTCCTCATCATCAAGAAAAATACACATTTAGTCAGTTGAAATGGGCTTCTCTTGGATCTATAGAACAAAAATCACACTTCAAATGGATCTTTCATAGCATATTTTAGACTCTGTTGCAGTGTGCAAGGGAAGCCAGAGATGGGACTAAAATCTTAAAAAAGTACATGATCTAGAAAAAGGAGACAAAGGAACCATTTCTGAGAGCTGAAATGTTAGTTTATATCCTTTTGTATTTAAGAGAACCCTTAAATAAGCATAACTTCTTTTAATTTAATTTAAATTTCAGATTTCATGAATGGCTTCCAAATATAAGAATTAATTTTGGCAAATGTGAGTTTTTAAAACTTCTTTAATCTGCTTTTCTGTGTAGGGAGAAGACATTGTCTTGGAGAACAGCTGGCTTGGATGGAAATGTTCTTGTTTTTTACAGCATTGCTTCAGCAGTTTCATTTGCATTTTCCACATGAACTTGTTCCAAATCTAAAGCCCAGGTTAGGTATGACATTGCAGCCCCAGCCCTACCTCATCTGTGCCAAAAGACGTTGACTATGCATTGATGCTTTGGAAGATAAGGATGTATATTTGCCTTACCTCTGAACCTTGCTTAAACTAATTGATGAGATGCTTGGAGAAAAGTCACAGTATCATGAAGCCAAATGAACATAGATGTGTTGTTAAAAACAGCACTGGAGCAATAACAAGCTTTTCCTATGATTTTATTTCAAGCTTCTATCTTCTATGATTTCTAAGATACAACTCTCTGTTGAGGAACACAAAGGTGCAAAAATGCAGGTGTTACATAAGATGCTAAGGGCCATGGATGCTGTAGGCAGAGCTACTTGTTTAGTATGTGGTTTCTCTCACTCTTCTTAACTCCATTTGGCTTCTGTCCTATGGAGCTTTGCTTCCAAGTGCTGGCTCTTTCTGATCAGCTGTTATCATTAATATACTGTGATACCAGCCCAACTTAATAGAGTACAAAAGAAGGAAATATAAACCCAAATAAATGAATTTGGACTACAGAGGTACTTTAGATGTGGTAGCAGATGTTGGAAGAAATATGTATTTAGTATAGAGCATACTAGAGCTTTCAAATCTTACTTCATATCTATGTCTTTATAAGAGTTGTCATTCTTTCTAAAAATTGAGAATCCCTGTGATCCCTGAGCATCCATCCCCACAACATCATTTTAGTAAAAAGAAAATTGCAATAATGTATTTAGAATAAAATGACATCTATGACTGTAGATTCTTTGTAGGCTCAGACGTCCTTTATCTTGGTACCATTTCTTCCTAAAACCAGTGTAGGGCCTAAAGATGCAAACATCTTATCTTTTAGATGTCTCTAGGCATTTCTGTGGGTTAGTGTTACTTTTCTAAAGATAATATTCACATACAAAAAACATGCCTTTTTTTTTTTTTGAAAGTACTGGGGTTTGAACTCAGGGCTTTGCACTTGCTCTGCAGGTGCTATACCACTTGAGACATGCCTTCAGTCCCCAAAACATGCTTTAGAGACAGGATAATTGCAAAAATTAGGACACTTGAGAGTGATGGGGTATATTAATGATCATGCAAAGATAAAAAGGGTAAATTGTGACTTCCCTGAATAAATTGAAATCTATACTCCCTCATACCTATTTTTATGTTGTCATATTTTTCTAAAGTTGGACAGTAAGGGTTCATGTTCTTGTAGCTTAGTTCATAAGCAGTTGCAGCCTCAGAGTAAGTTCTCATAGCAATCACTTTTATTAAGAATAATATGCATTTAATCTTAATTTGGCCTTGTCTGCCGAATATTTGCACATTTCTATGTTATAAATCAAGAGTCTTTGCATCTCTGATATATTAAGATTTTTTAGTTGTAAGGAGGAGAAAATCCTGTACAAATTTATTTAACAAATGAAAGAAAATTTAGAGGTAATGTAGATGTTTTAGGGTTAATCTGGCCTAGATGCTCCACAGTATAATCAAAGATCCTCTTTCTTCCCATCCCTCAGTTTTGCATTCCAGATGATGTCAGTTTTATCTTAAGGCTAATTTTTGGGAGCATATGTTCTTTGCCCACATGTGTGTAGAATGAGCAAGCTTGGATTGTTTCTGGGAGAGCAAGGAAGTTTTTCACATACATACAAAAAACTGTTCTTTGTGTCACAGAGGTCCTAACTGAATCATGCACCCATATATTAACTAAAAAGTATGTTTTATGAATGGGATTATGGTTCACTTAGGCCTGAAAGTGTACCTGAGTACTAGAACTAGTGAGATGGAGTTTGACTTCCTCCAACATACATGTGCAACATTGGGGTTTAAAACACAGGTAAGGATAATTACGAAGAGAAGAGGAACTATTAAGCCAGAAGACCACTTAACAGCTTTTTTTTTTCTTTTCTTTACTTTATAATGCTGGGGTTTGAACTCAGGGCCTTGTACTTGCTAGACAGGTACTGTACCACTTGAGCCATTCCAGCTGCCCTATTTTTTTTTCAATATCTAATTTACGTGCTCTCTGACCATCTGTTTTCCAACATACCTTCCTGAATTTTGCCAACTATGCTTATTCATGTTGCTCCTTAATATTTGTTCTTTCTTTGATCCACAACGTCTCCTTTCCAGGCTTTCCTCTTATTCTCACATCACCTATAAAAGCAAAGGTTGAACTACATAGACTAGGGGTTCTGGAGGATTGGCAGACTTAACTGAGCAAAGTAACTTCCTGAACTGAAGTAGATTGTAATAAAAGTTGAGGAGACCTTACTTTGTTTTTTAACTACTGTTACCAATGCCCTATGTTAGCTCCATAAACCTATATGGAATGCTATTTTCTTAATCTGTGCCTAAAGAAATGTTTTCATTTTCCTTTAAATCACATTAATGTGAACCTGAGAAACAAAACATGAAAGATACAGATTCATAAACTGTTAAAAGTAGAAGAACCTAAATCTTACCTTAATGTGTTCATTTTATAGCAAGGAAATAGGGATCCAGGCAGAGAAAGTAATTCCTCTAGATCATAGCAAAGACATGCCTGTTTCATCCCATATTCTGTTTTATATGCAATAATTTGTACTATGCTTTACAGTTTGTAAGATTGTTTTTCATATACTGTCATCTCTTGACTGTTTGGAACCAGTTCACTATAGTAAGAATAAAATACTGAACTTATGTAAAAATATAAGCTAACATGAATTCCTAAGTAATCTATAAGGAAAAAATATATATTTTTGGAATTGCATAGTAACAGATACATTAGGTCTATGCAGTTGGGAATTCCTTCTCTCTCACCAGTCAGTAATGAGCTACCAATTAGAATGTTAAAAATCTAACTTCTGACTCAAAAAGGCAACTGAGCACACTTATTTCTTTTCACATACCTTTAAAATAACCATAAAGATAGAAAGAGGAATAAAAGCATTAAGAATTTGGGTGGTGGGCAGTATTAGTGGATCAGATATTTTCAAGTTTTAGAAGATAGAGGTAAATGGAAAACTTGAAGAAACCAAATAACAGCAGGCATAGACAATGTCTGAGGTGGGAGTTTTTCAAATATACCTGGAAAGAGAGAGATGGTACTGGATGGGTATAGATTTGGGCGGGGAGGGTTCTTACACAGGGACCAGCATGGTAGGTGCTAGGGGTGACTCAGTGCCACCCCCAGCACTTACTGGTTTGGTTATCTTCTGTAAACTGTGAGGCTCAGAGACACTTAGAGGATATGCCACCACTACTTGTATATTCCCCATCCTCACAGGAGCACTGATAGAGGTGAGTGGGCATATATCCCAGTGGTTCTCAGACTCAGTAACTTTTGGGTGCTCACTGCCTCCCAGAAAACTATACATGGATAGCTCATGGATGTGTATGTAGGGGACGTTGCCTTGGCTCCTGCGGGGGCTCAGCAGGGCAAGGTTCAGCCTCCATACTGTCTAGTCTGGTTTCACTGGATCTGAAGAGGGACAGTCACATTGTCTCTTACCCCCCCCCTTCTTGATACCTGGCAAACTCTAGAACCAGAGGCATAGGAAAGTAGTATCTTCATCTCTTCACCAAGCAGAAATTTATGACTTTTTTTTTGGATTTGTGTTGTTTTCTCTCACTTTTTCCCATATCTATATCTCATAATATTTCCTCTCTTGTTTCTTCTTTCTTTATCCCTGTATTCACATCCCTTTTTATTACTTTATTAATATTACTTTCACCTTTATTAACTTTTAATTTAGTTTAACTTATTTTTATCCCTTTGTCTCCTATTGTTTTGGGGAATGCAGTTTTTAAGTGTTTTATAATAAATAGTTTGTTTCTGTGATGATGTTGTTACTATGGTTTGTTTTCTCCCTCTCGAGTCATAGTGGAGATTGATCCTTCAAGAAAAGGCTGCTAACTAAGAAGACCCTGAAATAAAAATGGAAGAGCTATCCAGCCCAACAGATGAGCAAATCATAACATAGAAATACAAGAAAACAGGATATGACTTTCCCAAAAGTTCCTAACTCTCCAAGAACTGAGTCCAAAGTTACCATCTGCTTTGGTAACTTTAGGTCAAAGAATTCAAGTGTCTAATTTTTAAGATAGTCAGTGACTTCAAAGAGGATACAAATTATCAGCTGCTGAAGTAAGGAAGACAATACAGGATCTGGACAAGAAATTCTGCAAAAAAATGGAGATTCTGAAAGGAAAACACAGATGGAAATCCTGGAAATGAAAACCTCAATAAATTGAAAATTTAAAACTCAGTAGAAAACATCAACAGTAGATCAAAAAGATCAAGAGTTATCAGGCTTGAAGACAAGACATCTAGATAGTAATAAAGAAAAATAAGTTATGACTACAACTTCCAAAACCTCTGGGATACAGTTAAGAGAACAACCTAATCTTTGGTATAGAAAAGGGCACCAGCATAGAAAATCTGTTCAATGAAGTAAAAAAAAAGGTTCCCCAAATCTAGGCAAAGATATGGGACAGGAAGCATTAAACCCAAATATATATGACCAGTTAAAAACTTCTGTACATTATATTAGAGTTAAAATTTCTGGGTTCAAATGAAAACACAACAGAACCTCTGGGATACAATAAAGGCAGTTCTAAGAGGGAAGTATATAGATCTAACTGCTTATATTAAAAAATCAGATCTCAAAGAACCTAAATGAAGCACCTCAAACTCAGAAAAACAAAACCCAAACTCAAAATCAGTAGATGGAAAGAAATAATAAAGGTCAGAACTAAAATTAATCAAATAGACACTGAAGGAACAATACAAAGGATCAAAGAGTTGGTTCAAGATTGATAAGATCTTAGCCAAGCTAACCAAAAGAAAGAAAAATCCTAAATTAATAAAATCAGAATTGAAAAGATGGATATTACGACAGGTACCACTGAAATCCAGAGGATCATTAGAGAATATTTTGAGAATTTATAATTTCAATAAATTGGGAAATCACTGGTGGAGTGGCTCAAGTGGTAGCATACCTGTCTAGCAAGTATGAGGTCCAGAGTTCAAACCCCAGTACCATCCAAAAATAAGACCTATAAATTGGAAAGTCTATCAAAATAGATAAATTCTTAGATATATGTACTACCAAAATTAAACTAAGAAAGTTTTAAACAGATTACTACCTAGCAATAAGATTAAAACAGTAATTTTAAGAAGTCCCCTTCCA